TAATAATAATAATAGCATGGAAATGTTTACAGTTTCAACTCCAATCACTCGGTATCTTGGTAAAGTTTATATTGAATTCAATAATTAAAAAAATAAAAAACTGAAACCTTAAAATGAGATAAAATCTTTACAAAAAGTCTAATCGAGTTGCTTTAAATTGCTACGAAGGCTGTCCTTTAAAGTTTTAACTATACAACCAATTAATATTGTATTACATCGTAAAAGTACCAGCGACAAGCTCTTGGATTACATAGACGGCAAACGCAAAGAAAAACGAAAAAGAAAAAAAGTTTAAAGTAATCGTAACGAGTACGCGTTCAGCGCTGTGATTGGTTGCTTCATTGGCTCCGGCCAATCAGAGTGCCGAACATCAACTCGTTTCGAATACTTTAAACGTAAATCAAACTCGTACTAAGGCCTCTGTTCCCATTTTGTTTGGAGCTAGCTTTTGCCCACGACTTCGTATGCGCAATCCCGTTTTCTCCCGTTTTCATAGGAATTACAAGATTTTCTTTTGTCTTAACAACCTTCTCCTAATAATAACAAATACAACAAAATAAAAATTAGTGAAATCGGTCCAGCCATTCTCAAGTTATGGCGTGACAACGGGAAACGGGTTTCATTTATGTATATAGATTTTCACATAGAAAATTTTGTTTTGGCTTAACTTGTATAATCAAACGTGGATACACAACATGGTATATTTAGAAATTATTTTTTTATTGTACGTATTGTTTATTTGTTAATAATGGAATAATTAATAATAGCTATATATGATACAGAAAGCAGTACTTCTTCTATTTCTAAATTTATGTCGTATGATTGCCTCATTGGTAGAGTGGTCGCAAGTGCGACTGCCGGACAAGGGGTCTCGAGTTCGATTCCCGGGTCGGGCAAAGACTACTGGGTTTTAAAAAAAAACCACAGTAGTAGCACGGAGTCTGGAATTGTGCCCGGTATATGGCAATAGGCTTACCCTATTACATGGGACGCATAACATAAATTGTGAAAAGTGGGTGTTACATTGTACAGTGGCATAATGTACATTTCTGCCTATCCCTTCGAGGATAAAAGGCGTGATGTTATGTCGTATGATCTAAATATTTTACAACGTCAATACAAAAAACGCCGTGCATCGTCTGTGCCGTTACTGTGTGCCTATGTTACCGTATTTTTCTATCTTATTCTCATTATATATTGTAAACAGAACCACAGGAAAAACCTAATATACAAAAACAACTGCCAAATATAATAAAAATACGTGTGGATCTCGCCTGAGACCTAAATTATTTATTCAACGCATTGTGAAGACGAATGTTTCATAAAGGTATCAAATATAAGGCAATGGTATTTTCTTCAGACCTCTTCAGACATTGAACCTTTAGCCATATTCTGTAGGTATTTGGGTATATTTTCAAATGTAGATACGACAGAAAGCCGCACGATGATGAGGATGTACTCTGTATTATCTCATGAATACTATGCTTCCTTTTATGTTGAAACTCATTGAAAGGTAATAACATAATATACTAAAGGTAATAAATAACGTAAGGTAACTACAAAAAGGTAACTTTTTGTTAAACTAATTTGTTGCTAATCTACAATGTCAAAGTCAAGTCAAAATCATTTATTTCAATTATAGCAGGAAGGCACTTTTGAACAAAACATTTACAAGTGAAGCTATTTGCTTATTCCAAGGTTTAAATTCCCATGGAGAAGAACGAGCAAGAAACTCCATAGGTTACTCTTTTTTATCGAATTCACAATACAATCCTCTAGTTGCATAGTTTTGGTAGTCCAATTGTGTGAGAACAATGTCACATCAAAATTCAGCATAAAATCTATCCCTTGATAGTGATGAGAGAGAGGCCTCAAGTAATCACTAATTCGTCATCAATCAACATTATTGTCACCATCAGCCGTTGAGATACATCCGCCGCGAAACAAAGGCTTCAATGATAAGTAGCCAGAAAATCATAATCTCTTTTGTCAATAGAGGTCAAGGCTTTTAGGCCAAGGACTCGCGGCGCGATTATCTCCTGCACCCGCCGAGATTTTCTCCCGCACCTTCCGTAGTTGCGGGCCCGCAGCCTATGTAGCATACAGATATATGTATGTAAAAAAACAAAGCATATTTCACAACGCGTTTTACGCCGGCGGCGGTTGCGATTGTTTCCAGCTTCTGCTTCACCGGCAGGCGCGATCGCGGTCCCGCAGTCACGATTTCAAACATCGCGCCAATTTTTAGGTTCCGACCTGTCTAACCACTGCGATACATATGAGATAGTTGTTTCAGAATTTAAAATTTGTACTTTCTGCACCCTCTCATCATAGACCATTCATTAATTATGCAAAATTTAACACGCCACCGAGCTCGTTGCATGCTTGAAAGGGCAGAAAGTTTTAATATATATACGCATTAAGGTTTAATTTTGCATGAAAAGTTTTAATAGAGACTCGCTAACATGTTTTCAAAGGAAAAGGTTGTCCGATTAAGTACTAGGTACTAACTCTATTTGCCTATGTGGAGGATATATATAAGTTTGTGAATTAATGAGGATTTTACGGTCTGATAGTCAGTTCTAGCTAAGGCCTAGATCGATTTTATCTGTCTAGGCATTAAATTCGTTCTCCCAGTAAAATATTCTCGGATTTCCAGATTTAGATTTTTTCTGGATTAGTAGCCAGATAGAATTAAAATAAATTTGTAATAATAGAGTGGAATTTGGAAATTTGCAAAAGATGAGAACGAAAAGAGTGGAACTTCATCGTATGACTTCTCCCGCCTGGGTGAGGCGGGAGGAAGTGTCAGACTGTTACTGACTAAAACCACTCCGTTTCTACTCCTGCACTTCGAGACGGAGCCCCGAGTATCGGCATCAGCCCTATTTAGCCCTATGCGTGGTGGTCTGATGGCTCTTTGGAACGCGACGCGCCGTATGCTCGGGAACGAAAAGATGGATGGATTGTCTGAAGACATAATAATATGAAGAAGAATACGAAATCGTTTGTATCGTCTGATATGGGAGTTGCTGAAAAAAGAAGACGTTGAACCGATCGACCCCATGTCGTTTCCGTGTAAGAATAGGAAGAAGAAATTGAAGATTGTTATTGATGATAAAATGATTATAATTATGTCTTTTAGATACAGGTGAATTATTATTGTAGTAACATAACATTCTGATTCTGATACAGACTATTTATTTTATGAGTTCCATGTATTAGGGGGTGAGCATATTGAGTAACGTACCTTTTCTGTAGTAATAGGTATAGGTACCTTTTCTGAGACGTAAACGGTAAATAGCGTTGAGCAAAAATTTAACTAGTATCTGCACTATAGTACGTACCTAATCTTCCAACACTTTCAGGAAAAGAACCAGGATAATGTTACATTTAACTACTCTATGTTGCTATACTAAAAAAATTCCTGCGTCACAAATAGCTCCATTAATCCAGCTAACATCAATAGTGTTGCCATATCCAGAACAATAGCGGAATTAGTAGCAGTCGGTGTTGCTAACAGAGAGACAATTTCGATTCACCATTTGATAGGTGGCTGACCGACATTTGAATATGTATGGAGTAATAAACGTAACGTGACTACGTCTGTCTTCCCAAAAAGGGATAAGCAGTAATGTACACTGATCAGTCTCACCTTTTAATAATAAATAAATGCTATTATTTTCAATCCCTCTGCTGCCTCGTTGGCCGCACGTGCGACTGACGGGCAAGAGGACGCGAGTTCGATTCCCAGGTCGGGCAAAGTATTACTGGGTTTTAAAAAAATCTCAGTAGCAGCACAGAGTCTGGAACTGTGTCCGGTATATGGCAATAGGCTCACCCCCTATTGCATAGGACTCATAACATAAATAGTGAAAAGTATGTGTTACATTGTACAGTAGCATTAAGTGCCATAATGGGCACCTCTGCCTACCCCTCCGGGGATGGACGGCGTAATTATATATATAATGTCATATAAATATGCTAGACTTCAAAACATCTCTAATTTCTTTACTGTGCGGTAACAAGTGCGTTGCCGGCCTTTTGGGGGCAAGGAATTAGAAGATTGTTAAGGATTAGGGTATATAAGGAAGGTTCAAAAGAAGAATAATTGGGCCTCCGGTAACCTTACTCATACGACAGAACACAACAGAAATGTTGTATCTCTTTGATTTTCTGTGAGGCTCTGGTATTACTCCGGTCGAGCCGGTCCATTCGTGCCAAAGTATGGCTGTCCAACACTGCAACAGTCAATGCTCCAATTGAAGGAATCGTACTTTAGCAGAGTTAAACAATAAGTATAATTTATTTATTTGAAGATCACTCTACATTAGAACTGCAAAGACTAGATTAACAAGATAGTCATAACCTCAACATTATTAGTAGAACTTAATACAAAACTTCAATGCGAAAGCTGGAGCACCAAGAAACGGAGAGGAAATTGTCCTGGGTTCACACAGCAACGGAAAAAGGACAAGGAACGGACAAATGCTAATAGAAATGGCATTTGAGACCAACATGAAAATACTAAATAGTCAATTCAAGAAGAGAACCTCTAATAGATGGACATGGATATCACCAGATGGAAAATATAGAAACGAGATAGATTACATCCTAACTAACAGGCCCAAACTTTTTGACGAATGTGGCACAATCGCAAATCTAAATTACAACAGCAATCATAGAATGCTTAGAACATGTCTGAATATATCATCTGCTCTAAAATCAAACCGACCTTTCAAAGCAAAAACAGCATTACCACACATCAAAGTAAAAGTAGCCACCGTAAAGGAGAATCTCACCTCAGTGACAATATGTTCTCTTAAAAACTTAAACACCCAACAAAAATATAACGCAATACATGAAATATTAACAACAAGACATAAAACACATATTGAGGACGTACCTAAAAATAACAAAAATATATCAGAAACCACAAGAAAATTACTAGAAAAAAGATCAGAACTAATTAAACTAACAAATAAAACAAAAAATATCAGAGCCGAAATAGGAGAACTGAGTAAACAAATAAAACTACAAATACGTAAAGATAGAGAACACAATAGACTTGAAACCTTCGAAAAGTTCATCAAAAATACAGGGGGAATCAAAAAGGCCGTTAAAGTTTTGTCAGATAAAACCAACTGGATAGCTAATGTGAAAGACCGACATGGTGAGACTACAACCAAGAGGGTTGATATCCTATCAATAGCTACAAACTTCTATAAAGACCTGTATTCCAGCAAGAACTTTATGGATAATACTGAACTAAACAACCACGAAGAAGTCCCACTCATACTAGAAGAAGAAGTACATAAGGCAACCAAAACACAAAAAACCGACAAAGCTCCCGGCCCCGACCAGATCGACAATGAATTACTTTTGGTTGGCAGAAATTACATTACACCATTGCTAACATATATTTTCAATGAAATTCTGAACACTGAATCAAT